ATGCTACAAGGACCACTGACGCTTTTTGCCTAGAACAGTGGCTTGTACAGATAGGTGCTCAAAATTTGTTAAATGAACAAATGGAAGAAGACCTTTCCTTCTAACCATGCTTAAAATGACATGTTCCTGTTTATGGTTTTTTCCATATGGTGAGAAACATTACCATTTTCTTTGTCTTCTGATTGTCTTGAACTAACTATTTCTCTCTTTTTCCTGGGGTTTTTAACCTTTTTTATATTTCCTCTACATGTTCCCAAATGCTGAAGATAGAGCACATAACCTTCTCTTCCATCCACTTTCTTTTCTTAATTTCAGACAACGATGTGAAAATAATGGTGCTTATGTCTTTGTAATGACAGAACTTCCTTTGTCTTTTCTTTAGACTCGTTTTAATCCTCAGTGACTCCTATTTAAGAAATGAACTGTGCAGCTGTGATGGTGCTGAGCCCTTGGCAACAACTCGAGGGGCAAACGAGTGGTCCCTCACAATGCTGTTCACTTCTAACAATGGAGCTGCATCATCAAACAGTGTCTTAGACTTTGTCAATTTGATGAGACCTTTAAGATCCATTTCCTTATTTTACAGACCTTACTCCAACAATCATCTCCACGTTCCCCCATCTAGGTCTTTAATAGATTCCTCTCTGCTATGGTAACCAACTGTCCTGGTTTGCATGAGACTGTCCTGGTTTTAGCATTCAAAGTCCCACTTCATGAAGCCCTCCCCAGTCCCCGACAAACCAGGATGGTCGGTTACCCTACTGCTAGCTTCCATCTTCCACCCTGTGTGCAAAGCATTCCTATCCTAAAAAGAACATGTCTTCCTTTTACATTGTAATCCACTCTGTCCTCCTTCCCATCTTCCTTCTTGCCCTGTCAGAAAAAAAATATGTTGCACAGTGTTCATCTAAAATACTTATTCCTTCTTCTCCCACTCACTCCTCAACTAAACCTACTTCTGAGGCTACTGCCCTCCACTGAAATTGCTCTCACCAAGTCTAATGAGCACTTCTCAGTGCCCATCTTGCTTTACCTTTGTGTGTCATGGTTGGAAGCTCTCAGTCACTTTCTTCCTCTCTCTTCCAGAGTTCTATACTTCTCATTTCCCCCAAGCTTTCTACCCGTCCATTCCATTCTTTCTTGGCCTCTCATGGGATCCAGGTCCCCTGTCTGCCCATGAATTTTGTACATTCTCCAGAATTTTCTCTTTAGCCCACTCCACTGCCTGAGCAGTCTCACCTCCTTAGGTAGTTGTAATCCTCGTCTCTATGCATAATCATAGGCACTCAGTGGATGTTAACTGAGGAAATGGCTCCTAAATCTCCTTTTCTTCTCCCTAAACATCAGACTTTGGTATTTATTTCCTTCCGGAAGGAATGGTACCTATCCAAGCTGAGCATATCATATCCTCTTACTCTGTTCTCCAAACAAATTCCCCCCTCATGTTAGTATTGGGTTTTTAATATTCGTCTTCGTTAATTTTATCCTAAATGTGCACATGAGGTGTTCTGGATCAGACACAGATTTCTTTTAGTTACCTAACAGGGAATATCACTGCCACCCCCCCCATCCTGGCCTTTGCCCCAAGTCTTACCCCTAGGGAGACGTGAGGAGAGCCAATGGAAAATGTTCCTACATGACTGGCTGCGTATTCCCTAGGCCAGAGACCAGGAAAAAGGATTTTCCTTTCTCGTAAAGCGGAAGAAGGCCTTTTCCACCAGAAAGAGGCCCCTTCTCCTCCTGAGAGGGTCTCCTTGGAAACATAAGGGCCTGAGTCCTAACTCCAACTTTTCTTTTTTTTTTATTTTTTTTTTAAGATTTTATTTACTTGACAGAGAGAGACACAGCGAGAGAGGGAACACAAGCAGGGGGAGTGGGAGAGGGAGAAGCAGGCTTCCCGCTGAGCAGGGAGCCCGATGTGGGGCTCGATCCCAGGACCCCGGGATCATGACCTGAGCCGAAGGCAGACGCTTAACGACTGAGCCCCCCAGGCGCCCCCTAACTCCAACTTTTCTAGAAGCCAGAGAACCCCACATGCCTCAGATTTTACAAAGTGGAAATGTCATCAAGATCTGGGCTTTTTTTTCCTCCAAACTCTAAAGACCTAAAGAGATAGCCACTCCAGTCTTGCTGACAGCTTGGAGCTGAACCTGGGAATTTACTCTGGGCTCTAACCATTTGGTCCTCTTGGATGAGAGAAATTAACTAGACACATGACTGCAGATCTAGTTCCCATGGTATGGGAAGTTTCTCAGGAGCCAGAGCTTTTTATAGGCGTGCTGAGAAATCTGGGAGAGTTTATTTCCTCACATGTAGGTTAATTGCACCCAGCATTCACTCATCTCCCCAACCTAGAAACTAGAAGTCTTCCTTGCTCCTTCCTCTCTCCATTCAGTCACCAAATTCCCACACCTCTACACACTAAACATTTCCCTACTCTATCCTTTTTTTTTTTTTTTTTTTTTTGGTACCTACTGCCCTGGGTCAGATCCTAATAATCTTTCACTAAATTCATACAGTTGCCTCCTAACTGGTCTCTCTAAATGCATTTCTGCCCTTCTAACTTGCTCTGTATTTATGTCAGGGACATCTATTTGAAACACACACGTGCCTATGCCACTCCAGGTTCCTGATTTCCTACACAAGAGAATACCTCGGCTTCTTAGCAACTCACAGATAGAGCTTCAATTTCTGAGTTAAAGGTCAAATATAGTTTAAGATAATGACACTGTCTTATTTCATCTCTGGGTATGTCCTCTCCTTGTACTTTATGTGCTAGAAACCTGGCCTACTTGAGATAAATGTACATGGCACATTGTATTAGGTCCTATGTCTTCACACCCGTATTTTCATCATTTTTCTTCCTCTAATCTGCACTTCCCAGGCTAACTCATGTTCATGCTTAAGAATTCTTTATGAATAATGTCTTCTCTAGGAAGCCTTTCTCAGTTTCCTTTCCCAGATTGTGCAAACCTATAGCACCTTCCACACTGTGCTGAAATTAGGAGTGCCTGGGTGGCATAGTCGGTTAAGCATCTGACTCTTGGTTTCAGCTCAGGTCATGATCTCAGGGTCAAGATCTCAGGGTTGTGAGTTCGAGCCCCATGTCAGGCTCCCCACTCAGTGTGGAGTCTGCTTGAGATTCTCTCTCCCTCTCCCTCTGCCCCTCCCGATTGTGCTCTCTCTCTCTAAAATAAATAAATAAATCTTTAAAAAGAAAGAAATTATTTATGTGTTTGACTCTTATACTGTATACAAGTTTCTAAATGGGAAGTGTTGTTTTGCATTCACTTTTTTCTAGTTTCTGATACAACCACTGACACATAGTAGCTTAACAAAGGGAGCCATTATTATTTTTATAATTAGTGAAATCAGAGTCAATCGCCTCCTATCAAGTCCAAGTAGAGAGACTAGAAACAATAATAATTTTCTTGAGGTTGGGAAAATTAGATGTATGAGCAAGAGTTGTATACACATACACACATGTGCACACATATGCACACACACACACACAAATTTCAAATGAAGTATTAGAGGGAGAATCAGCCTTATATGTAAGCAACAGAGTAAATAGTCCACGTACTCTGTATTATAATACCTACTCTGTATTATTTCAAGGACACAAAAATATCTCACTCTACAGAAACTACATCCCCATCCACAGACTAAATCCTAATATTTCACTTACAGAATTTTATTATTTCAATTCAAACACGTTGCCTCTCTTTAGTGAAGTGTTACTAACTATGGAAGATGAATCATTTTGCAAAGTATCAAACTCAGGATTTTTCTGAATGATGAGGATTTTATTTATAAATGTGTCAGATAGTACAGTTCTGGAGCATTCCTACAACATGAGATATCTGAAGTTCAAAGGAGATATAGCTGAATTTTCCCTCAGGGCTTAAAATCATTAGGTAACATTGCTAAAAATAGGACAGAATTGAAAAAAGATATGAATAATTAAGCCCTAGCTTAGGGTAGTTCTTATTATTACTGTTGCTTTTACACTGATCAATTAATGTTTATGTGGTACTTGATACTTTCATTAACATCTTCACTTCTGAGATGGCAGAATCTGGTCAATGAGTATCTTTGATGGTTTCCAAGCATCTCTCAATTTATTCTAGCCTCATACGATGTCTCACAAGCCTTAGGACTCAATTATGTATGAAGTTTATTGTTTTCGCTCTGTTTCTAGTGTGTTAGTTTTCTCCCTTCTTTTCATCCAGAAGCTTCCTGAAGGCAGAAACTATGCATTCTGCTTTCCTTTTAACCCCCAGTATCAGTGAAGATTACAGATTAAAGATTAAAACTGGTAACTAGCATAGATGACACCAGGAGACGGATTCTAGGCCTACCCTTTTATAGAAACCTATTCCCACAATTCCTACATCCAGTATACGTCAACACATTTCTACCATTCTCGAAGAAGTCACATTGGATAATGTATTGGGTATTTTTCAGAAGTACTGAGTTTTTACATAGTTTACTATTAATATTTCATTTTATTTGTTGTCAGATATTTTGACAGAATAAGCTGGTGGTTATGAATTGGATTGGCTGTATATTTCAGTACAACCTAAGTTCTTCCAAATGGCCCTTCAGGCTCCCTATGTTCTGGATAACCGTTCTTTTGGGTGCGTGAAGTATTCATTAGCCCTGCTAGGGTTTTGCAATGTGTGTCTTGCAACTTTGGCTTCAGATTTCAAGTTTGGCAGTCAGGTTGTACAAATAAATCACTCTTATCTTAATGAAAAGGCATTAACATGTCTTAGAAGCTCCCCCCATGCTCTCCAGAATAGCTTTACACACACAATGGCTTCTGATTAACAGAAAGATCCACAGAGCCTTCTTTATCATTTTGTGACTATCGGTTTAAAAATAAAGGAGATAGAAATTGACCTGGGAATTCCATAACCAAGTTCTGAACATCTAGGATTAATTTTGAGAAGAATGCCACAAGCCAAATAAGCATTTCTTTTCATCTCATTTCACAGGCCTTCAAGAGGGAATTGAAAACGAAAGAACCTGTAATCATGAGTACTCTTGAGACCGTACGAATATTTCTGACAGAGCAGCCTTTAGAAGGACTAGAGAAACTCTACCAGGAGCCCAGAGGTAATTGAATGTGGAACTGTAATAACATATTGATAGAAGGATCAGTGGTGGCAGAGTGACCCATCCATTCTTGCTGCCAGGGTCTGGATAGCTCTCATATTTTCTAAGTTAAATAGAATCGATTCAAATTAAACATAGATGTTGAAAAAGAAAAAGGAATCATAAACCACCATGCCTAGATCTGTTTGTACATTCATAAAAAAACAGTAAAAGAGATTAGTTAGTGATCAGTTATTGAAACATTTAGAAAATAATAAACAAAAGAGATGATCTGTTAGAAGGAATTCAACCGTTACAAAGACTACAAGCTAATTTTCAATTTAAGAGCCTGACTGAAGTAAATTAGAGCTTGTGGTGTGCATTTCTCTACTCAGTAGCTTAAATGAATCTTGGGTTATCTGAATGATAGAAAGTAGAACAGATACACTCAGGAGGACAGACTTGAGATGGGCTGGACACTATCAAAATTTATGCCAAAGTGTAAAGGAACCATTAATCAACGGGTCGGCCTCTTGTTAGACTGTACTCTCTTTCTTCCAGTATGACCTTTTCAGCAATGTTTTTTTTTTTTAAATAAAAATGACTGTGGCCTAAAACCTTGTCATATTACCAATTTAGAGCTGCCTCCTGAGGAGAGAGCCCAGAATGTTACACGGCTCCTACGAAAGCAGGCTGAGGAGGTCAACACTGAGTGGGAAAAATTGAACCTGCACTCTGCAGACTGGCAGAGAAAAATAGATGAGGCCCTCGAAAGACTCCAGGAACTTCAGGAAGCGACAGATGAGCTGGACCTCAAACTACGTCAGGCTGAGGTGATCAAGGGATCCTGGCAGCCTGTGGGTGACCTCCTCATTGACTCTCTCCAAGATCACCTCGAAAAAGTCAAGGTACCATCTATTGCTTTGCTTCAGGGCCCTTTGAGAGACTCAAAAGAAGTTCTAATCTGAACTTGAGTGCAGTATTTTCTTCTCACAAAGTTAAAAATAGCGCCCTTAAGCTTTAGAAATCAGTCTGTCTTTCACAAATTCAAAATCATCTTGCATGTGGTATTTTCTCTAAGAAGAGATAGTGATCTAATCATCTCTGTCTTTAGTAATGTGGAATGAAATATTAAAAAGGTACAGGTGAAACAATCATTCTGATTTTGCTATTAGGAAATGAATTTAGGCGTTTGTACTAAAATGATCTGGGGTGTGTGTGTGTGTGTGTGTGTGTGTGTGTGTGTGTGTTCTTTGTGAAACTTAGTATCAGAGTAGGGAAAAATATAACACTTAATCAAGAGCCAGGAATCTAGGCTTTGGCCCTTGTGCTAACTAAATTATATGACTTGGGTGAGTTATGGTACTGTGAATTGAGGCTGTTACTGCTGCCCTTCCCTTGGAAGGCAATGTATGTAATACAATTTTGAGTTGTATTAGTCCACTGCAAATATTAGGAAATATCATTATATATTTGGAATGCTGTCCCCAAGACCAAAGTTAAATTCCCTTGTGGCACAAAGATGATACAGATATTTATAAAGAAAGAATATACATGTTTAGGAGTATCATTCTGAAAACCAGCAACTTGAAAATATATCTTGTTTACTCATCTAGCATCAAAACCAACAAAAGTTCAAATTCAAAAGAAGTGAAATTCTCACCTGCACTCGGCGTGTTTGCTGGCAGCCTCATTCTGGAAGGTCTCTTCTCCCTTGCCCTCCGTGGCATTGTTTCATCCCCATTCTTCTTCTTCCTTCATTTTCCTTTATTTTCCTCAATTCTGAAACTCTCCTCACCCTTCAGATGTTGGCACACCAAAGTTTCTAAACTTAGCTCCATGCCCTTTGCATTGTGTAAATGCTCCCAATTTGAAATGGTGAGTATGGTGACAAATATCCATTTCCGGTCTGGATCTCTTGGCCACCCTCCTCCCCCATATGTCATTAAAGGAATCAAAATGCAGCCCTTCTGAAACTAAGTTCATTCATTCTCATGTTTGTTCATTCCTCTGCTGCTGTCCCCTTTCGTCTATGTTGCCAATGTCAAGTTGCTCAGGCTTGACACTTGAGTTCTTTCCTTAAATCCTTCTACATTTTTACTGATTGCACTTGGCCACTCATTTTACCTCTAAATATATCTTTTCTATTTTCTCTCCTCTTTTCAACCAGTGTCCTGTTCCAGCCCCCAGAGTGTGGTACTCAGATTGTTGTATTATATTTCTTTAAATCCCATGCCAATCCCATCTTTAATCCCATGTTCTGGCATATCATAAACACTACATTTTCTTTTTTTTATGTTTTTATTTAAATTCCAGTTAGTTAACATACAGTGTCATGCTAGTTTCAGGTGTACAGTCGAGTGATTCAGCCCTTCCCTGCAACCCCTGGTGCTCATCACAAGTGATAAACACTGCATTTTAAATATTTGGCTAATGAATGAGTGAATGAACAGTCTCTTTACTGGATGTCTACATTATCCGTCTTCATCCAACTCCAACCCAAAGTCATCGCAGGACACTGCCTGCCTCAGAATGAAGTCCAAGGAATGAAGAGGGCAGGTGGCCCTTTTCTTCCTAGCCCTGGTTGAAATTCCTGATTGTTACTCCCATCCTTCTTCAGGCCATTCCACACACTCCGGCCCTACCACCCCTTTACCCAAATATGCCGGCTTTTCTCCTAACTCTCTGCCTTTGCAAATGGTCTTCCCTTGGCCTGGACCACCCCAACCTTATGTGCCTGGTGATCGCCCACTCAGCCCTCAAGGCCCAGTTCAAATGGCTTCTGTGTTTGTAGTTTGTCCTGAGTGCCTCCCACCCACAGCTCCCACCGAGCAGAAGAAATGGCCCCCAGTCAGTGCTTTCAGAGATCACCACACATCCTTCAGCTGTCACGCTTACATTTCCCATGTATTGTAGTTTGTCACTTAAAGCGAGGTTCCCACAAGCAAGGGTCATGCCGTGTATGTTTGAATGCCCAGCTCCTAGCACAGTGTCCGCAACATACAAAGGAATCTCATTCTACTTCTTTGTTCCTTCACTCCACTCTTGTTTATGAGCCACCATACAATGTGCTATCACATGTAGTTGTGATACAGTTGTGAAACAGACATGGTCTTTGCCCATATGAAGCCTATTCAGTTGAACTGAATAGCTCTTCATTAAAATAGTAGGTGGAGATTTAAGAGAAGATTACAAATTTGACTGTATAACTTGGGAAATCTCTTCCACCTTAACATTCTATGACCCTATGTCTTGCAATTAAAGCAATGGTTAACATTGCTGGCCACTTGGAAATTAAAATAATGTTTTGAAGTGTATTACCTTGTATTTGTTCAGCATTAAAAATAGTACTTTTATTCAAAAATGTAGGAACTCCGTTTTTTAATATCTTCCCCCAAAGTGACAAATGAGTTTAGGAGAATGTCCCAAAGGAACTGAATGAGTTGATAAATTAATTAAGTGGCCAAATCTATAGGCTTTACAGCAGACCTAAGGGATTCATTCTTAGTCATATCTGCCACACAGATGCTTTGTAGTATCCTGAGTATGGATGGAGAATGTACGCAGCATGATTCAATAACAAAAAAAAAAAAAATCACTCAAAGTAGAATGGCTCAAATATCAGCTGACCCTCACTGAAGCCTATTTGCATTTTTCCTTTCACTTCCCTTCTCTTACCTGGTCTTGATCCTAAGACCAAGTTTATTCCCACACCTTAATAGGTAAGACGCTCATTCTGATCCCAATAATAACCAAAACCTAGATGCACTCAATATTCCTTTCTAAAAGAGCTTATACATGCCATCACTTCAAATAAATCCGTTTTCTCTGTTGCTTCTCAACAACACTGGGTTTGAAACTCTGAAGTTTTGGTGGTGGTAGTTTATAGGGAGTGAATTTTATTAACTAAAACTTACTTTGAAAGAAGTAAAAGAGTACTTAAAACCACTGTTCCCATTTTTCTACTCAGCAATTGAAGCCCTCAGAGGCTCCATGCTGTAGGGAACTCCAAACTGATAGCTAGGCATGTAGCCAGAAGAGTATTTTATTTACCCACTTCAGTCCATTTTCACCACCCCTAGTGACTCTAATGGAATACCCACCTCCACCCTCCTCTCATTTGCTAAAGAAGTTGTTATACAAGTTAACTGTGGCATGTGTTTTTCTGTGGGAACGAGTATTATACCATTTCATTAGCACATGTGGCTTTGCGATTTGGCGAATGGAAAGAACAGCAAAATGAGGTCCTGGGACCCTTTGGAAGTGGCATTGTCACTGGCTACTCATCTTCAGGATGGTGTACATATCATAAATCCAGAGAAAGGAACACAGTGTCAGTATTGACTATTTAGCTCACTCAGAGAATCTCAACCTTCCAAAAAGAGCTTCCATAGGCATGAGCCCTAGAATGAAATTGAAAATGCAAATGCCTCTTTATTTTTAAAATTCATGATTTATATATACTGCTTATCAAATATTTCAAGGACACAATCATGATTTCTCACTGAACTGGAACTAACACGACTGCTTTTGTGACTGCACAGATATTCTTACTTGCCTTATCGTCACGGGGAGTAGGAAAAGCTCCTTGGATCACTAGGTGCTCCACTTAGATCTGTAAGTGGCATATCTGCAGGTTTTAAGAAAGCAGGAAGACTTTGGAACCTACGGTCTACCTAGGACATTTTCGTTCTTGAGCACAGTTCCAGTGTGAAAAAGTTCGGGAGTCGTTGTTGCTCCAAGTTTTCCCTTTTGTTCTAATCTACCCTGGGTTCTTTACACAGAGTAGTACATCATTCTTGAGCCAGGAATGTTTTACTGCCCTTAGTTTGCCCATCGCCTCGAAACACAGTTTTTCACACCATCGCCATAATTCAACTCCCCCAGGCTGCCATTTGGAATTATGCAAATTTGTCGCAGCTATGTAGTTAACTTCTTTTCTATTTTTTTTTTTTTATCAGACTTTCCTTCCTGCGAAAGGTCAAGGACAGGGATTCTCTGAGTTTTTCCTTAAAGTTCTCACAATGAAATATTTGGATTAGATCTTTTTGGAATTATCATTGAGAACAATGCAGTAGCATGTGTAGTAGACCAGGGACTATAATGAAGCCGCCATGCCATCCTGACTTATGTATGTTCAGCATTCACATCTAAAAATGTAAGAAGATAACTGGCGAATGCATCTCCTCAGACCAACCATCCTGAGTCCCTGTGGTTTGGTTTATCTGGGAAATATATCAAAGAAATGCTGTCTCGGACTTTGACACTGAGAAAAGCAAGTATGTTTCCTCCTAATAGTGAATGTGAAATGTGATGTAACATAGTAGAATTTCATCTTCATATTGGCAAGCAAAAGCTTTCTGCCAAGTTCACTCAACTCTCTCTTCCCTTACTGCTTTTCTCATCTTAACTCCGGTTCTAATGTTTTATTAATTTTGTTATATTTGTCATTTATATGAGCCAACTTTCAACCCTTTCTCATATGTGAGTTTTATAGAGAAAGCCTGTAGACCATTCTGATAGAGTTAGGGGATGCAAGGTTAGACAGAACCATCACAAACAGGGCAGCCCTAAGAATGATTCAAAATTTGAGAGTTCTCTCAACTCTGAGTAAAGAAATGATATCTCCATGATGAACGAGGTGTACTGCCCATAGTTGGAAAAGAAAAGTTCCCCAATATTTTGTTAATGGTTATAGACAGCAAATGAATTGCTCTGTGGAGGCTTTTGTTGTTATTTTCCTACAAATGCTGTGTGTATTAAGTAGCCTTTGACTGAGAAAAAAATACAAACAAAAAAGATGTAAGCCTTTGTAAATCTGGGTTAAATATGGAACTAGCACCTGTCGTCCGAAGTAACCTGGGTTTTATCCCGTTTTTTTTTTTATCTCGTTTTTTAAAGCATGCAT